CGGAAGATAGAATGCCCTTGGGAGTTGGAGCTCCTAGGGAAGGAGACCTCTACACTAGATCGCGAGGAAATTATCAATGCTAACAATGATGGCAATGCAAATGACGATGGAGACGAGGATGAGGAAGCTCCAGATCAAGTTCGTGTTCCACCACCAGACAGTCAGGAACAGGCTCTAATTCAACCACCAAACAACCAAGATCCAGATCAGGTTCTACCAGTAAATAACGATGATCAAGTGGTTCACAGAATATCACGTCGACCTCGAGGTAAGCAAAAGTGAATTTTACAAACTAAAGGTGGTAATACATGCTTTTTGCAGCAATGACTGTTGGTAGTAATTTCATTCCAGCTCGACGAGATGCTTAGTGAGGGATGATCATGAGATACATGAACTTTCAACATTTGGATTAGGATGGTTATTTGTTATTTCTTTGGTATGTATATATTATAGGAGTGTAGAGTTCTATTGGTACTTTACTATATTATATTAACTATTACATGGTTATATTCTTATATTGTCAACAGAATTGAGTTTACTCTTGCAATTGCAACAAGTTGCTAATGCTAGATTTTAGAAGTAATATTTGACAAAAATTCTTTCATTGATTCAAGCAGAGTTTATTAAATACTTGAGCCATGTATAAGTGGGATAACAACAGTGATACAACTCTTATTATTGTCTGGTTCATTTTCCCAATTTATAGTATATGGTTTATCTAAGGGGTTCCTTATTCAATGGAAGGGGTGTTGTTATAAGTTGGACTACAAATTTATAAAGTTTGGCATAATATTTAATATGCAAATCCTCCATAAAATGTGCATATATAGTAAGTGAAAAACTTTATATAAAAGGATCATAAATAAGTTACATCACATATGAATCCACAAGTGCCTCATTTTGATATTCCTCTAGATCCCAACCCATTAATAAAAGACCCTTAATTGCCATCTATCCTTCCATGAGGAAGGGATGATATAAGGTTTAGGTATAATGCCACATTAGTTTAATAGTTGTTAGATTAATTTCAATTCAAACCATTTACTTTTGTATATAAGCAAGGGTTTTTCTACTAATTGAATATGCATGTACTCACAATATAAAAATTCCTTAACCACCCACCAAAATTCTATAGCAATAGAAATTTTATGAGTTCATATGGCAATTATTTCAATGTCTAGTTCTTGTTGGTTAAATTATAATTTCTTTATATACATTTTCTTGTTTCTTTTCTTTCTTTCTAATTCTTAGAACATAGAGGCACAAGATTTTTAGAGCTCTTCCTATGGCAAGAATGGTTTTTATAAGATATACCCTCCTTTTCCAAAGAATAAGAGCTCACTCACTTAGGCCCTTGTGTGGTGCAAAGAATCAATCACTCCATATTTCAACTTCATGCATGGAAATTTGCATTTGAAAAATACAAGAATGAAGCTCAGATGTGTTAACACTTCTTTGTGGAGAAGGATCTATACTATTGTCATAGGTTTGCATTGAGGTGGTAGCAAAAGTATTTTTCACCATAAAACTTCACAAAAGTGTAAATGTTTTCCATGCTGCCACTAGTGGTTGAGCTCAACACACATTAAAAGGTATCATATAAAGGTGCACAATCTTCAATGTCATTGGTGCATGGCAACATCCACCCACCCTTTAGGAAGAATGGCACTGCCCAATCTGTCAATAAATCAAGTTGAAGACATTAGAGAGTAATCTTTTGATACTTGACATATACTAGTTTGCAACTCTCCTTCCTGAATCAACTCA